AGATAACGATATTAGCGTCCACACCAGCGAACGATATCGTCTGTTTATTCTAAGTGCATGCTCGTCTGCCGCTTTAAATTCTCAAGCTCGTGACAGCAGGATTGATTCTGATTGGCTGTCAATGTTTTTATCGTTCATCAGCTGGAAAGAAACGTTCTGAAAGTGATTCCAACGATATCGTTTCTCCGTGCCTTTATCGTTATAGTTGTGGTGTGGACTCTGCTATTCTTTAATATTGAGAACGATTTTTAGAACTATATATTTATCATTATCTTTATAGTTATCGTTCTTGGTGTGAACGGGGCTTAAGTCTATCCCTCACAGTTTTCATCTGCGTTAAATTCCATATGGCATCTAATCTGACTAAGGTCTATTGCGTAATAATTATTTGCGATTTTAAGCATAAAAATACATACAAATATTGGGAAAATAATCAATGTATAACTTTTTATTCAGCATTTAATGAAATTTAAGTATATTTATGATTTGCATTTCACATCCGCCATCTTGGATTTTTTTTTACGAAGCTTGTCGCAATGCATTCTGGGATTGCTTTATTTGTAAAATATAATTGATACTTCCTTAAATTTTAAAAGGCAGTTTATTTAGCTGTTATTCGCACTGTAAATTTTTTTTTCAAAGGTTATTGGAGTAGGTTTTACAAGAAAATACCATTTCAGGTTTTCTACTTCAAAATGTCATGTTCAATTGCCATTTCTTTGTAATTTATTATAATATCTACTAGCAATTTCGGAGTGAAAATTGTTTCTACACCAATTTTTTTGTTCAGTAGGTGGCTCACTAGGTTTTGGAACAGGGCTAGTGTTAGCATGCTGGATCATTCATGTGTGCTGGCGAGCTTTTAAACACTTATACTAAGCTATGAGCAGCAAAATAGCAAAAAGTGAAAGCTTGAACAGGACCGTTTTAAATTTCTGCTTCATTTTCACTTGCTTACGTCCCTTATTAATCCCAAACTATCCTAAAGGTTAGACATCCCTCACAGCTATGACACAAACTCTCATTTTTACTGCCCTTTAAGTTGCGGAAAACCTGTAGATATCTCTCTTGCCTTCCCATTCAAACGGTCACGGTCACATTCAGTCGCTTCATTGACGCACACGTGCACCAGTCAATAATCACAGCCAGCAGTAGCAGTGCGTCAGGAGGAAGGTGTTGGCTTGTGTTTTGGTGAGCTGCAGGCTGTCTGGATGCTTGAGAGGCAGGTTTAGGTGAAGTGCTGTTTGTGCAAGCAGTCCAGAAAGACAAGGAGTGATCAAAGAGAGCGAGAGAAGAGGACGTGTGCCTCTTTGGAGCTCAGAGATGCACCATGGTCCTCCCCACACTTCCTCAGCTGTTTACTTTGAGCGCTTCTTCTTTATTCTGGAAAAGAAAGAACAATCATATTGTTAGACATGAACAATCACTTATTATCTTTTACATCCGATACCAACCTTCAAGACAAGTTTTGCAGACGAGACTGATTTTTTAATAAATGTAAAGTTTTTGCAAGTTTTGAGGATGAAATATGTAATTGTAGTCTTTGAACATTTCTGTGTGAACTTTTATGTATCTAACAATCTTTTGCAAGTACATCACTTGGAACAATTTTTTTTTTAAACTTTTAGTCTTATTGTACAAATTGTCACATCAAAATGATTTCTGTTTAGTTTTAGTTTAATTTCATTTTTAGTTTTAGTAATTTTTGTTTAGTTTTATTTCAGTTAGTTGCCCAAAAAAAAAAAAAAGAGTATTTTTTTGTCTAATATTTTATTTTTATTTTAATTAACATAATAAAATATTTTTTCATAGTTTTTGTTTTAGTTTACAATAACAACAGCTGACTGTTAACAATAGTTGACGCATCAGTAGTTTTTTATGTTATATTTAATGGCATCAGTCATTTTGGCTCAGTGGCACAATAGGAGGTCGATTATAGTGGTGTAAAATTTCTCTGCTCTGCCTGTTACCTCATCATTAATCTGCAATTAGTGTAATTAAAGAACAGGGGCTAAATGCTTAGGGCTCTGTGCTAGAGCCTAATTACCTACTTAGGTAAACGTGTCATTTCTATAACCTTAAATTAGCCAATAACATTCCACATTTAAATGTTAAGAACAACAACTTGTAAATTTCAGCTAAGATTTGTTTTAAACACTTAATGCTACTTTATTCTTGCATTTATTTGGACGAGAAGTACTTTGTGTAAAATAACAAATTACAAGTTGTGTAAATTTGTACACAACAAGAAATAGTCATTTTACTTCAAAATTATACTTTCTAAACTTCTCATTTAATTTAATGTGTTACTTGCTATTTGTAATTATTTGTGAAATTTACTAGCAATTTCTGAGTGAAAATCATTTCATCACCAATTTTTTTTTTTCAGTGTAGTTTAACTTTCTCTTCATTAAATTTTTACATTTTAATGATTTTTTTAAAGTCTACAAGGAACAGGTCTGTATTTCATCCCATGATTCCTTAGAGAACTCCTGCTTTTCTAGTGCAGAAAGAGTTTCTTCTTACTTGCTAATGGCATTCTTTAGATACTGCTGCAGCCATTTGGTCTTGGGGTTGATGCAGACCTCTCTGTTGTTCTTCAGCTTGGCACTGGTAATGAGAGAGAGAAAAGAAGGGATTTGTTTCGGACGAGAGCAAAAGAGGGACTGTACCTTTCTCCCTCAGCGGTTCTACAGTGTGTTTTATCAGATCATATCAGCTGTCCTTCAAGGACTACATTGCAGCCCCTCTATTCTACTGTACTGGCAGGAGTCACTGCACTCCATCAGATAACAGGATTGAATTAGAAGAGGTTTGTAAGGACAATGTTGTGCTGTCTGGAAGTTCGGGATTTTTGATGATTCGGAAGATTCTGACCGTGATTCCCAGCACTGTACATGTGCATATAGTTAAAAAGTAAAATATATTATTGAAGTAAAGTGTCTAAAGTAACATACTATTTATTTCTTCTGAAATTAAATGTATACTGCATCAATACACTGATACAGTAATACTAAAATTATATTCAAGCTAATTTTCAAATATTCTGATTAATATTCAAATGAAATGTATAAAAAAACAGACTGTGATGACATGTTTCCACAGTTATTAACACTGTAAGTATAGTAAAGTTTTTTATATTTTAATAAAAAAATTTAATGTACACTTATAACACTGTACTAACTATACTATATATACACTAAAATAACTATATGTTTTATTACCTCTGCATTAAATTAAATAAAATTGGTTAATGCTGTTGTGTGAATGTGAGTGACGGCAAATTTGCCATCTTTCTCTTTTATGACCAAAGTAATCAATCTCTCAATATTTTTTTTTTCCTCTTTTGGAAAGTTGGAAAAACTCTATTGTGGATTTTTTTTTTTTGCTATTGGAGCAAATGGGAGCACAATCGTTATATTTGTTGTAGTTTCCATTCACCACTATACAAATTTGCCCAACTATGACGACTTCTGCTTTTGAAACGAAAATTAACCATGGTTTTTCTGCAAATAAAACCAAAAAAATCATGGTTACTATAGTTAAACCATGGTAACCACAAATTAACCATGGTTTTGCTACATTAACCATAGTTTAACCATTTGTAGTAGAACTGTAGTAGTTATAAAAATAAATATGCCAAAAAACATGGATCCTACACTTTTACTATAATAAAACCGTGATTAATTTTCATAAGGGAAACCTCGGAAATGTGAAAAGTGTCCATTAGTGATCTACTGATGTGAGATTTATACATGCATATACTGTATATATGGCAAAGAAGGCGACTTTTGATGTGCGTTTTTTTTGTTGTTAAAGGGGTCATATGATGTTGCTAAAAAGAACATTATGTTGTGTATTTGGTGTAATGCAATGTGCTTATGCGGTTTAAGGTAAAAAAAAACACATTATTTTCCACATACTGTACATTATTGTTTATCCTCTATGCCCTGCCTTCTGAAACGCATCGATTTTTACAAAGCTCAACAATACTACAGCGAGAATAAAAGTTACGCTTTCTTTCTTTGCGTGAACATTTGGGTGGTGTTATGCAAATCTTTCCACATCGTGACGTAGACTTGTGGGGGCGTGTTAGAACGAGCCGTTTTAGGTAGGCGTGGTTGACTCTTAACTTTTATAAAGAATATCTCTTTGGATTTGAGACTTTAGTCTTTGCAACTTTACAGATCTTCTTTATGCACCAAGAGCTTGTAACTCCAAAGAGAAAGGAAAAATTGAAATCGCATCATATGACCCCTTTAATGGCAAATAGAAAGTCAAGGGTCTGAAATACTCTCAAACAGAAATCTTTCTGATTGATATCTGACCTCCAGATTAGCTTTGGCACAGCCAGGAAAATACCCTCGAATGCTTCATTCCCCCACACATGGAGAAAACCACGCAAATGACACCCAGACTTCGCACCTCGGTGCCAAAAGGTTGTGTTTGAGAGTTAGTGGCTCACGTTGCCATTCAAATGGCTATTCGTATTGCTTACACCTCACACACACACGGATCTCTCAATCTGTCTAGACAAATGGAGTCTGTCGGCACAGATAAAAGATCCGCTTAACCCCAAATCTACTCACCAATCCTCACAATCAACTTCCCGATCAGTAAGCTAAATAAAAGCGTAATGCTATCCCTGTTTGATTTCTGGCGGGATGTCATCCATTGACTTTATCTATATTTGTTTGTTTGTTTGTGATTTGGGCTCTGGGTTAATCTAGCTAGTCTAAACGATCTTTCGAGCGAGCTTGTCGGTGGTCTGGGACCGAGCCAGCAGGTAGTAATTAGCTCACAGCAAGCTAATGCTAACAACAAAATGAGTGATGTGTGGGTCTGGGGGGGGGGAGGGTTGGTGGCTGTCTTTCATCTGGGCCAATGAATCCAAAAGGATTTCTAAACAAGATGTGTGGAAGACGGCAGATTAAAGGTGATTTCCTCCGGCCAAAGTGTGTTCCCCAAATGACCCTCGGCTACACGCTAACCTTTGCAACCCCTATATCCTTGATCCCCCCGTAACGTTTGGCTTTTTGCTGATCGACGGGGTACAATTGGTTCGGTTTAATACATTCCAGACTGCTGAAGTAATTCCAAATGCTGGTGAAAATGAAAACGACATGGTTGCTCGCAACAGAAAGCTAATCATTTTGACCCTTAACAAGTATTGTGTTGTGAAAACCTGGACAAAATCGCTCTCTCATATTTTCTCATTTGGTTGTTTTTTGTGTTATACTCTGAACAATAAAGCACATCGCTACATTCCCACACAGATTTGACTCCTTAAACTGGAAATGTGTAACTTCATGAGCTATTTCTGGCTCTGTTTTTCAAAATGACGTTCATTGGTGTAACTTCATGTAGCCATGCAAAGCATACAGAACACAGTTTAGCCTGTGAGATAGATGGATCTGGAAAACTGACTCACATGACTTGGAAAGGACAGCTGGGCGTGTGGAGGAACTTAATCTCACGGATGCTCCTCTGCGGGACGGTGTTGTGAGTGGACCGGCACCAACATCTCTCCACCAGACTGATGGGTTTAGCTGGGATGTGATCAGAACAAGAAAAATGAGAAAAATGCATCTTAAACAGATTTTAAGTTAAGTTTTTAGATAATTTGTTATATAATACTGTAAGTGCTAAATTAATATAGTTTAATTTTTTTTAAATTAATACTTTTGTTTAGCAAGGATACAATAGATTGATCAAAAGTGACAGTAACAAAATATTTCTATTTCCCATAAATGCTGTTCTTTTGAATTTTCTATTCGTCAAATAATCCTGAAAGAAACGGTTTCTACAAAAAATATTAAGCAGCACAACTATTTTCAACATTGATATCAATAAGGAATGTTTCTTGAGCAGCAAATCAGCATATTGGAATGATTTCTGAAGGATCATGTGACACTGAAGACTGGAGTAATGATGCTGAAAATTCAGCTTTGACTCACAGCAATAAATTAAATTTTAAAATATTTTACAATAGAAAACAGCTATTTTAATTTGCAATAATATTTCTCAATATTCCTGTTTTTACTGTCTGACCAAATAAATGCAGCCTTGATGAGCATAAGAGACTTCTTTAGCTTAACTCAGATGCACTAACATGTAAAGACATGTACATCTAAGTATTTAAAGTGAAGACTCATATGGAAATTTATGCAGGGTGCTTACGATCTTAATGGAACCTCTTAATGATCATTGGCTGAAAATATTCACTATTCTGGAAAATTAATTTGATTCTATTTATTCGATTAACAATAAACAGTTCTGCAATTTAAAACTCAAGTAGTAAATCAATTAAGCAAAATTTCAATTTGTTACTTTCCCTTTTTTTGTAATTATTTGTGAAATTTCAATGTAAATCCTACTCCAATATATATTTTTTTCAGTTCAGTAGACTTCAATAAGAAAGCAACAATTGTTCTGTTTTTTGTTTGTTTGTTTGTTTTGCTTTTTGTTTTTAGTTTTTTTTGTCTTGCTTTTTGCTATTTATTTATTTTTTTTGTGTGTGTGTGTTTTGTGTTTTATTTTGCTTTTTGTTTTGTCTTGTTTTAGAAGTCATGTCTGTCTAGTTAGTTATATGTGTATTTATGTGCTAAAATATTTATATATATATATATATATATATATATATATATTATGCTGAATAATACATTTATAATGAATACATTAATTTCATTTATTATAATTGTTTATTACAAATTTTAAAAATTCCAAAATAATAGCAGTGTTACTTTAGTTTCTTGAGCAGCAAATCAGCATATTGGAATGATTTCTGAAGGATCATGTGACACTGAAGACTGGAGTAATGATGCTGAAAATTCAGCTTTGACTCACAGCAATAAATTAAATTTTAAAATATTTTACAATAGAAAACAGCTATTTTAATTTGCAATAATATTTCTCAATATTCCTGTTTTTACTGTCTGACCAAATAAATGCAGCCTTGATGAGCATAAGAGACTTCTTTCAAAAACATTAAAAATATTTTAATAATAGAGTGCATTCTTCAAAATATAGATATTAAAAAAAAATATATGTTTGAATTTTTAACATAATTCCTTGGTTCTCTTCATATTATTTTCAATCATTCATGGAAATATAGTGAAAAACATATTTAAATGTGTTAAAACAGAGCAAATCTTCTGTTAAAATTTTGTGTATTGATGTAAAACAATGAAATAGTTACCCAATAGTTTTTTGATATTGTCACTGATTATTACAGTTTTTGTGAGTTCATGTAATAACAAGATGAATAATCTTGTAAAGTAACATTTTTCACTGTAAAAAGTTATTAAACAGAGCTGTTTTCTATCTGATCTGAACCTTTAAATTCTATTGACAGAACATTTGTATTGTACATTTTTCTAAAATCACATTCTAGAAACTTAATTTCCAACTAAAGCAATCCGTAATTCATGCTAATGCAATCTAATCATACAGTACAACATAAATCACTGAACTTTATTGTAAAAGCATCTGAAAGTGTCCAATCACCTGCGTCCATTAACAAGCCCTGATCATTAAAAAGAGATTAGTCTGCCATTCTAGTGGCTCTCGTCTATTCTCACGGGGTCCGGTCTGCCTTTCACTCGCCACATTTTTCATAAAAAGGGTCCTCAACATTAAATACGGCCGAATCCCGTAATCACAGTATGCCTCTCCAGGCACCTCTCAAGTTTGCTCCGGAATATGTGCATTAAATGGATCTGTTGAAGAACATTCTCTGAATGGTTTCACATCTCCCTGGTTTCCTTTGCGCTCCGCCGGAACGGACGTGGTTATGAGGGAAGTCAAACTCTGAAATTCCCATAGATATTCTGACACTCTCTGTTCCCTTTGTCATGTTAAACACCGGCCCATTAAGCCTTGACTAAACACCACGCCAAGTGAACATTATTGAATATATTTTGTGATCTTTAAGCCATAAAAACGTATGCTTGTAATTAGTTTTTTTTTGGGGGAGGGGGGGTGAATGCCTTCAATAAGATATACACTGGGGAAAAAAATGGTGTAGAAACAATTTCCCCTAAGAAATTTCTAGTAAATTTCACAAGCATTACAAAGAAATGAAAAGAAGCATATTGAATTAAACGTGAAATTTTATAATTATGAAATAGTACTTTCTTGTAAAACGTAATCTAATGATTTTTTTATAGTTTCTTGAAGTTGGATGCAAAAAAAAAACATATTTTTCGGTCACTACATAAAACACATGGACAATTGGGAAAATATTTCATGGGTGATCTTACTGTTACACTAAAATGAGTATGTGTGTCCAAACTTTTGATTGGTACTGTAATTATAGCTAAATATACGTCAACTTGAAAAATGTTTTTTGAACATGAAAAAGCATTGCTGTAGTTCAAAACTGCCTCAATTATTTTAATATTTATATTTACATTTTATATAATATTTATATATTATTTTAATATATAAGATATAGTATAAAATAGTAAAATAATATGAGCATTGAAACTATTTTGCCGTAACCCACTTACCTTCAGTCTCTGGGCTCCATATGGTGACCGTCAGCAGGGCCACCAGCGCTAGGACTTTGCTATCCATGCCAAGTGTGTGTGTGTGGCTTTTGTCCGTCACAGCTAGCTTCCAGAGCTCAGTGTGGCGTCTCAGCGCTCTGCGAAGTGTTAAGACTGAGGACCATAGGGAAACACTCCCCCCTTTCTCAGGAGGAGGAGGAGGAGGGAGTGGGGCTGGACCCTCTCCTCCGACAGCCTGCGTCTTCAGCGAAGTTCCTCAAATGTTTTGGCAAAGGTTCAGCGGTGACAGTCGGACTCAGACTCTTGTTTCTGTCTTCCTCTGCATCTTTTTCTCAGAGGAGTGGAGAAAGTGGAGCTCCTGATGTTATCTCAGTATTGTTGTTTCTCAATGGTTCGATTTGTTATTGTTTGTTTCATGTCATGTTTTCTGGAGCTCGACTTTCTCTTAGCTGGCGCTGCTGTATTTCCTGCAGACGAATATCAGATTCCCTCTGTTTTATAGGATTCTCCTGTGATTCCTATATATTTAGGGTACGTTTGAATTGTATGTACACTACCAGGCAAAAGTTTGAACACACTTTATTGAATATATTTTGTGATCTTTAAGCCATAAAAACGTATGCTTGTAATTAGTTTTTTTTTGGGGGAGGGGGGGTGAATGCCTTCAATAAGATATACACTGGGGAAAA